ATTCCACTCATGAACGAGATACGCACGGAGCTCTGTTGGTGGCTATTCCACAGGCAAGCCTGGAATGGAAAAGCCATGGACAAGATCTCAGCGGTACTATATATTAATCGTCTGGGCGGAGCTCGATCCTGGGCACTAACAGATGCAACAAAAGACATTTACAGTTTCTGTCTCTCCCGCAATATCAGGTTACAGGCAGAATACCTACCGGAACTACCCTACGACCATCCTCTCCTCCTATCCTCGTTTCCCCTCCTACCCTCATTTTCCCTCCTACTATCCAGCCCTCTGGGAGAACTGCACCCTCTGGTACTACAAGGATGACTAGATCTGGTGGCCTGGAAGATTTCAGGGGAACTTGAGCTACAGACTGTCTATCACAAATCACTAAGGACCTGCTGTCGGACTCGTGTGCACCCAGAACCAAACGGAGCTACCTCGCGACCTGGAACAAATGGTTTAGCTGGCATTTGGGGAGGGACTGATCCAATTACGACTCATATCACCATGATTCTCAACTTCCTATCGCAGACATCATGCGTTCGGCGAACTGATCTCAAGAAGAAACCTTTCAGAATTTTTTATTTCCGTTCTTCCTCTCACGCTTCTTTTTCTCTAATCAGATAGCGTTAAAAACAATAGGTTAAAAGAAAATCTCGTGACGTGTAGCTTTTACTTCCGCATCACGTGACCTTTATTGAAACGCATGCGTCATGCCTGAGTGGGACGCATGTGTGATAGGGAGGGGGAGAGGTAATTTCTCCATGTCTGCTGAGGGAGTTACCACTCCACCTCCCTATCACACATGCGTCCCACTCAGGCATGAAGCATGCGTTTCAATAAAGGTCAAGTGATGCGGAAGTAAAACCTACGTGTCACGTGATTTTTTTTTTTAACCTATTGTTGTGGCATTTACAAGTTTTGTTTATAGCTAATATTATACAAAATAAGCTTTCCAATTCATTCTCTACCAGCACTGTTGTTTTAATCTAAATTTATTTTGCATTATTAATGCGTATTTTAAACTATGATCCCAATGACGTCATTTTGGCTGCAATTTCAAAACCTCATTGCAATTAATGTTCCCTTTATATACCGTTGCTTGTCAGGTCTATGTTTTATTGCATATCATTTTCTACTTGAAGAAGCCTCTGTAGGCAAAACGCGTTTAGAAACCTTTTTTTTAATATTTCTGTTCAATAAAGGAATTTTTGGGCTGCATATTACAATTGCCATATTCCTTTTTTAGTTTTTATTATTACTTTTTGCCTGACATCCTTTTTCTTGCTGTGTCCAAGAAGCACCAAGAATCCCTATGTGGGGATTATACCACCCATACGCTGTACACCGAGCAGTGAGTCTGCTCGGCAAATTGTAAGTACATTTTGTATATTTTACTCATACACTTAAAGATACAGTAAGCACTATATTCTACCGACCTTTTTATTTTCTGGGTTGGATCACTTTGCTGCTACTCAAAATAAAAAGCTTGAAGAACTTCATATATCCTTGAGTGGGGATTGTTCCACTTCACGCTTCCAAAACCAGAGCTGGATTGTAGCTCTGGATATTGTGAGTAATATTTTATCTATATACCATCTGCATTTAGTGTATATACATACCATACCATTGGAGTTTCCTTTTCTGTTTATTCTCCACATGTCCTATTGGATTTCAAGTTGTGTTCCGTGATACCACCACTATCAAAACCAGTTTGCTCCTCTACTACTTTGAGCTACCTTATTTGGACTAGTGTCAAGTTACCTGGACTCTTTTAAGTTATTTTATATATTTATTTTATATATTGATTTATTTTAAATATCCTACTCCCGCAGGCGCTACCTTATTAGAATATTTTTTTTCCATAATGGATTTTACATGTCTATATTTTTATTTAATAAAATATCTTAAAGACAAAACTTTATGTTATATTGTATTCTCAATTATTTATATATTTTAAATAGAGGATCACTTACTGCCCCCTTTGTGACATCATCAATATGGCCAATTTTTAGCCAATCCAATGCTTTTTCCATAGGAAAAGCATTGGATTGGCTAAAATTGGCACGGGGACGGGGCCAAATGCCATTTTGGCCAATCAGGACCTCCTCATAGATATGCAAAGAATCAATGCATCTCTATGAGGAAAATTGAGCATCTCCATGGAGAGCGTGGGGACGCTGAACGGCAGGGCTGCTTTTTCGGCAGCACTGACCCAGGAAGCACCTCCAGTGGCCATCTAAGGAGTGGCCACTTGGAGGTGTCCCTAGGGGTAATCTAAATGTTTACATGAAAATGCCTGAAGGGAGCTATTATACTCACCAGAACAACTACATTAAGCTGTAGTTATTCTGGTGACTATAGTGTCCCTTTAAGAAGTTTTAGGTAAATAGAGGAACCAGCGGTTACAGTAAGTAGGCGGAGATTAACCCCTTAAGGACCGAGGACGGTTCAGGACCGTCATCGGCATTTTTGCCTTGCCGACCGATGACGGTCCTGAACCGTCCAAACGGTCTGGGGGTACTTACCTGATCGCCGTGCGTTCCCCGGCGATCAGTCGGTTGTGGGGAGACTGCCTGCAGCCCAGACAGTCTCCCCACGGCGAATAGGACCCCTGTGGCCATGTGATCGCTTAACACAGCGATCACATGGTCACAATAGGTGTCCATGTGTCTGCCTGCAGGGGGACTGTCTGTGCTGACAGGCAGTCTCCCTGCAGTGTAAAATCAAAAAAAAATTAAAGTTAATGGTAATAAAAAAAATAATAATAATTATATATGTATAAATATGATATATAGACATATATTATATCTATATAATATATGTCTATATATCATATATATAATGTCATACTAAGTGTATTTTTATATTAATATGTACTTATATTAATATAAAAATACACTTATAATTAAATTACACACGTATATATATAATATATATAATAACTATATATATTGTATATATATATTATTATAAAATATAAATAATAAGTAATTTAAATTAAATAAAAAAATTTTAAAATAATAATAAAAAAATTAAAAAAAATTATATAGCTATATGAAATTTTATTCTAACTGTATTTTAAAATTATATATATATATTTATATCAAAATACACTTAGAATGAATTTGTATATATATCTATGTATATAAAAATAAATAAAAATAATAAGAAATATACATACGTCCATATACAAAATTACATAAATAATTATATAAATATACGTAGACTTCAAATATATAAATATGCATATATATTTAAATTTCTACGTGCGTATTTATGTAATATTTTTACATAATTCAGTAATTTTATTGATTGCAATTTAGGGACCTGCCTGCCAACCCAGGCCGAAATTCCAGAGAATTTAATTTGCTAGCACTGTATTTTACCCTGTAACGTTCTACGACACCCTAAAACCTGTACATGGGGGGTACTGTTTTACTCGGGAGACTTCGCTGAACACAAATATTAGTGATTCAAAACAGTAAAACATATCACAGCGATGATATTGTCAGTGAAAGTTACTTTTTTTGCATTTTTCACACACAAGCAGCACTTTTACTGATGATATAATTGTTGTGATACGTTTTCCAGTTTTTAAACACTAATATTTGTGTTCAGCGATGTCTCCCGAGTAAAACAGTACCCCCCATGTACAGGTTTTATAGCATTTTTGAAAGTTACAAGGTCAAATATATGGGTCAAATATTTTTACATTGAAAATGGCCAGGTTGGTTACGTTGCCTTTGAGAGCGTATGGTAGCCCAGGAATGAGAATTACCCCCATGATGGCATACCATTTGCAAAAGAAGACAACCCAAGGTATTGCAAATGGGGTATGTCCAGTCTTTTTTAGTAACCACTTGGTCACAAACACTGGCCAAAATTAGCGTTCAATTTAGTTTTTTTACTTTTTTCACACACAAACAAATATGAATGCTTACTTTGGCCAGTGTTTTCGACTAAGTGGCTACTAAAAAAGACTGGACATACCCCATATTTGAATACCCTGGGTTGTCTACTTTAAAAAAATATGTACATGTGGGGTGTTATTTAGAGATTTATGACAGATAATAGTGTTACAATGTCACTATTGATAAATTTTTAAAATGTATGTTTTTAAACCGCAATATCCTACTTGTACCTATAGCCCTATAACATGCAAAAAAAAGCAAAAAGCACGTAAACACTGGGTATTTTTAAACTCAGGACAAAATTTTGAATCTATTTAGCAGTTTTTTTCATTCGCTTTTGTAGATGAGTAAAAGATTTTTCAAGTAAAAGTCAAAAAACATGTATTTTTTTCAATTTTTCATCAGATTTTTGTATTTTTTTTAAATTAAAATACATGAGATTATATAAATAATGGTATGTAAAGAAAGCCCCTTTTGTCCTGAAAAAAACAATATATAATTTGTATGGGAACAGTAAATGAGAAAGCGGAAAATTACAGCCAAACACAAACACCACAAAAGTGTAAAAATATTCCTGGTCGCAAATGTACAACATCGCAAAAATAGTCCAGTCCTTAAGGGGTTAATTATAGGTTGGGCACAGTGGGCGGAGCATTGCGGCAGTGGGTGTGGTAAATTCTTACTGGGAGGGATTCTGGGAGATGTGGTTCATTAGTCAGCTATCTGCTGTAGAAAGACAACAGCTGAACTACAAATCCCAGAGCTATAATGGAGCATCATTACACCTGGACACACTTTTATCAGATTGCCTCTAACATCCTTTTTTTGTACTTTCAATCTGCCATTTGTAATTCTAGATAGTATATGTCAACCAATAATAATAATAATAACGCTCTAGGAGTCAGGGAGCTCACAGAAACCTAGGACTCCGAAAAAAATGGCCACACCGTGCTTATGGCTCTACTGTTTACAACTACGTAACGACTGGACTCTGGAGAACGACACTGACTCCTATTGGCTGACCGCTCTTTATTCCTATTCTACTATTGGCTGCCCTTTCCTCTCATTTGCTATTGGACAGTTTTATTGTCCGTCATCATACTGCGCGTTTCATTGGTTGTCCCACGCAGGCGCCGCGTCGGGCTAGAGAATTCCAACTTCCCGCTGCTCTGTGATTGGCTGCCGCTCACAGTACGTATAGTGCGCGCTGGGCTGTGATTGGTTAGTTTGTGGCGGGAAGAGTCGGTTTGAAAAAGCAGGGCCGCCACTGTTACTGGAGCTGCGGGTTAGTCAGACTGCGGTGAGTGACGCCGGACTGTGGGTGAGTCTGTCCCAGCTGTGAGCGATCTCTCGATATTTAGTAAATAATCCCTGTGGGTGAGTCTGTCCCAGCTGTGAGCGATCTCTCGATATTTAGTAAATAATCCCTGTGGGAGAGTCTGTCCCAGCTGTGAACGATCTCTCGATATTTAGTAAATAATCCCTGTGGGAGAGTCTGTCCCAGCTGTGAGAGATCTCTCGATATTTAGTAAATAATCCCTGTGGGAGAGTCTGTCCCAGCTGTGAGCGCGATCTCTCGATATTTAGTAAATAATCCCTGTGGGAGAGTCTGCCCCTGCTGTGAGAGCGATCTCTCGATATTTAGTAAATAATCCCTGTGGGAGAGTCTGTCCCAGCTGTGAGCGATCTCTCGATATTTAGTAAATAATCCCTGTGGGTGAGTCTGTCCCAGCTGTGAGCGATCTCTCGATATTTAGTAAATAATCCCTGTGGGAGAGTCTGTCCCAGCTGTGAGATCTCTCGATATTTAGTAAATAATCCCTGTGGGAGAGTCTGTCCCAGCTATGAGCGATCTCTCGATATTTAGTAAATAATCCCTGTGGGAGAGTCTGTCCCAGCTGTGAGCGATCTTTCGATATTTAGTAAATAATCCCTGTGGGAGAGTCTGCCCCAGCTGTGAGCGCGATCTCTCGATATTTAGTAAATAATCCCTGTGGGTGAGTCTGTCCCAGCTGTGAGCGATCTCTCGATATTTAGTAAATAATCCCTGTGGGAGAGTCTGTCCCAGCTGTGAGCGATCTCTCGATATTTAGTAAATAATCCCTGTGGGTGAGTCTGTCCCAGCTGTGAGCGATCTCTCGATATTTAGTAAATAATCCCTGTGGGAGTCTGTCCCAGCTGTGAGCGATCTCTCGATATTTAGTAAATAATCCCTGTGGGAGAGTCTGTCCCAGCTGTGAGCGATCTCTCGATATTTAGTAAATAATCCCTGTGGGAGAGTCTGTCCCAGCTGTGAGCGATCTCTCGATATTTAGTAAATAATCCCTGTGGGAGAGTCTGTCCCAGCTGTGAGCGATCTCTCGATATTTAGTAAATAATCCCTGTGGGTGAGTCTGTCCCAGCTGTGAGATCTCTCGATATTTAGTAAATAATCCCTGTGGGAGAGTCTGTCCCAGCTGTGAGAGCGATCTCTCGATATTTAGTAAATAATCCCTGTGGGAGAGTCTGTCCCAGCTGTGAGAGATCTCTCATATTTAGTAAGAACTCCTGTGGAGAGTCTGTCCCAGCTGTGGGAGAGTCTGTCCCAGCTGTGAGAGATCTCTCGATATTTAGTAAATAATCCCTGTGGGAGAGTCTGCCCCAGCTGTGAGATCTCTCGATATTTAGTAAATAATCCCTGTGGGAGAGTCTGTCCCAGCTGTGAGAGATCTCTCGATATTTAGTAAATAATCCCTGTGGGTGAGTCTGTCCCAGCTGTGAGATCTCTCGATATTTAGTAAATAATCCCTGTGGGAGAGTCTGTCCCAGCTGTGAGCGATCTCTCGATATTTAGTAAATAATCCCTGTGGGAGAGTCTGTCCCAGCTGAGAGCGCGATCTCTCGATATTTAGTAAATAATCCCTGTGGGAGAGTCTGTCCCAGCTGTGAGAGAGATCTCGATATTTAGTAAATAATCCCTGTGAGAGAGATCTCGATATTTAGTAAATAATCCCTGTGGGAGAGTCTGTCCCAGCTGTGAGCGATCTCTCGATATTTAGTAAATAATCCCTGTGGGTGAGTCTGTCCCAGCTGTGAGCGATCTCTCGATATTTAGTAAATAATCCCTGTGGGAGAGTCTGTCCCAGCTGTGAGCGATCTCTCGATATTTAGTAAATAATCCCTGTGGGAGAGTCTGTCCCAGCTGTGAGAGCGATCTCTCGATATTTAGTAAATAATCCCTGTGGGAGAGTCTGTCCCAGCTGTGAGAGCGGTCTCTCGATATTTAGTAAATAATCCCTGTGGGTGAGTCTGTCCCTGAGTGATTCCTCTATAGATACAGCCTGGACTGACGTATCGTAATTTTCTAATGTCTGTTAAAGTTGCTGTCACTTTAAGGCTGTGACCATAGTTTGCAAAAACTTTCAAAGCTGACACGACCCCTTGGTGTCCAGATGCCCTGTGGCGAAGGAAGCCCCACGATGATGGGTTGATCTGAAGGACTTCCTTGTAGGTGCTGATTTCATTGGGCATCTGATGCTTAATACACTTGGTCCATTATTTATGACCATGATAAAGACTCCAACACCCCCTTAAATTTTTGGAATGTGCCCGTTGGCTTCCAGTCTCATTCAACAGCCAGACAAGCATTCGAATAGAAATTTAAAATGATCCATAACTCTGTTTATTGTTTACCTCTATTGAGCTCTCGCAACAGTAATGTTTTGATCCAGTGGTAGGGTCATTGTCAAAAAAGATCCTACAACTGGGTCAAAAAATTGTGGCGAGTGCAATATGTTGGAAACTTGTAAACCTTAATGAGTGCTGGACCGTTCTGACTTCTCTGGCTATATCCTTGGTTGGCATTGCTTTTTATACTCTTGTTCTTGTCTTAGAGTGTAGACACTATGGAAAATACAGTAAGTTCCTAGAAGCACTACATGTGTGAGAAGTCTTTTTCTATGGCTGTTGCTGGGATTGGATAAAATTTGATCCTGGCCCTTACACCTTGTGTAAAAATCTCTAATTTTGTCGGTAAGACAAATGAGTCTGTTTTCTATTATCTTTTGATTGTTTTGGAATTTTGACACTCCAACCCAGACATTAGTATTTCATAACAGATTCTAACAGAGCTGCTTTAAAGGAACAGCCAATCCATTGATATTTAATGTGCAAGGAGTGCCCTGTCACTCAGTAGTCAGTTTTACTAGGGTTCCTCAAGGTCCGCATCCCGTGTCCAGTCTTTTGCAAGAGAAACCAGATGTCTATAGAATAAGCCTATGCCGATGCAGGACATCATTCATTAGTTGAGAACTCTATTGAGTGGGAGTGTTAAATAGAAAAGACGCGTAAGACTGGTGTGATTACAAATCTGATCTTTCTACAGGCACCCACGATGACTTTTAACTTTCATATTCCCTTGTCCTTTGGGGACCTTCTAAAAAGTGGCGGCATTGGCCAATATGTAGTACAAGAGGTTCTACCCCTACGGCAGTTGGATGCTCAGCTAAGTGGTAAGATAACAGGATTAAATTGTAAATTCCTGTTTTATTTTAGCACTCGTGTCACTTTTTAAAAAATATATTTTTTTTTAGCATTTCAGAGTGCCCTCCGTGTCCAAGGCCCGCTGTGTATCCTTCAGCATTTTGATGCTCTGTACAGCATGCTACAGTAAGTATTTCTGTATCTGTCATTTGGTTCAAGTTTTATGAACTGAAACTTTAACTCTAATTGCTAAGCTGCAATTATCCTGCTTGTATACCCCTGTTTAGAGTCCAGTAGCAATTTCAGACATTGGCTTCTTTTAATATACACTGACTACCTGCCAAGTGATGAGCCCAAGGCAAGTGTGACTCCCTTTCCTCAAGTTATGACTTCTGACCTTTGCACTTGGTCTGTAATCTTGGTGGTTGTGTAGAAGCTTCTCGCTACCGCTGTAAGGCCAGACCAACAGTAGCTTATCTAGCTGGTCTCTCTGATATTTGCTCATTTGAGACTTGGTGTGCAGAAATTAGAGTGACCTACAGGATGGATCGGTACCTAGAGTGCAGGTCAGTAGCTGTAACTTCTTGGAGGTTACAAGGAGGTATGAGCACATATATCTTTGGTAATCTGATGGCTATTGTGTATGTATCTCAAAAAACATTTGAGGCTTGAGTTAGTTGTAATCTAGTTGTGTCCCAGAAGAATTGATTCAAAATGCATTCATTTTCCCATAATATGTCAGACATAGGAAATTGTAAACTGAAATGAGCAACTTAAGCAAAAATGTCAAATCATCTGTAAATTCTCAACTACTGTAATCAGTTTCCCTATTTCTGATTAGTTTTTGCCAGTCTAGTTTAAATTCTGTACAACTCAGTTTAGTAACGTTTTAATGTGGTTTTTATTAAGCACTACCTAAACATTTTGTAAAAATCTTCATATAAATGGGCAGAATAGCAGAAATTACTTATTGAATCCTGGCTGGATGGAATGAGAGAAATTAAGTCATGGTTTTGCCATGAATAATGGGGAAAATATGCTTTGACTCTTATTTACATTTTGTATTTTTTCCCTTCCTCTTATTTAGTCATTTCCGGTCACTGGATACTGCACTGAAAGAGGATTTACTTGAGGTGATGGTGAAAGGTATGAATATACACGGATTATAAATTATGAGAACCTTGAGAGTTGTAGAGCAGGTTGTATCTGAGCCACTCTCATGGAATCTTTTTATGAAATACCTATATTGACTGTTGAAATTTCACCAAAATTTCATCCCAGTCAAGAGACGAGCCTCCTAGATTCTGGGCAAAGCTACAGTGTCAATCCCAACAACCTTCAGCAGTGATGGCTGCAGGGAATTGGATTAGTCTATATATGATCGTGGGATCCTCTGTAGACCTCAGTGCTGTACTCGCTTGCATGCAGGAAGCTCTAGGAGCTGAGGAGTATAGACTGGAGGAAGATAGTGATGCCCCAAAGGGACAGTTTCGGGTAAGTAATAAGTAGTCAACAATATCTGGAGTGTTGCAGGTAGTCTACCCTTGCATTAAAATGTATCCTATGCATTGTGTAGCTCTAGTCTGAAGGTAATGCTACCTTTCCAAACAACTGGGTTGTCCATTTTGGAAACTTCTTTTTATTTTATATTCTATTATGCTTACTAACTGCCAAGTGATGATCCAAGGCGAATGTGACTCCCTTTTTCTTTGGGTTATGATCTCTGACCTGTGCACTTGGTCTGTAATCTTGGTGGTTGTGTAGAAGCTTCTCGCTACCGCTGTAAGGCCAGACCAACAGTAGCTTTTGTGGCTGGTCTCTCTGACGCTATTGTCAGCTCACTGCAGATTTGGTGTGCTGAAATCAGAGTGACCTACAGGATCAATCCGTACCTAGTGTGCAGGTCTATGACGTAACTTCTTTGAGGTTAAAAGGAGGTATGAGCACATATCTTTGGTAATCTGATGGCTATGGGGTGTTCAATGACCAAATTTCGTAGAACTCTTGTACAGGGGTGGAAAGTAGTAGGACACTTTATTTTGGTGAGTGCATCTAAAAGACAGTTTTCTGATAACTGCTCAGGGGCTGGTGTAGTAAGTATTTTTGAATCTTGTGTTGTATGACTGGCATCATTGTCTTTATCATAAGCTATATTTGTGCTTCCTCAGCCACATCTCGGCATGCCAATGAACTCCCTGCTATCCTTGAAGATCTTGCAATGCCTGCACACCAGCGCAATGCCCACCTCAACACCCTGAAGATGAATTGTTTCATTCTTGCACAGCTTGTAGAGGCTTTTGAGGCAGAGACCTACAAAGCTGCTTTGGCGAGTGTGGAGCCTAGTGGGAAGGTAAGAAGGACAAAGCGATGCTAGCTTGAATTCTTTTTGTGTGGATATATATATATATTTTTTTATCCATTTTGAAGTAGTGCTGGTTATTTACTAAAGTGAGAATTGCAAGGCATTCAAAGTGCTTTTTTTTTTTTTTTTTTTTTTTTTTTTTTTTTTTTTTTTTTTTTTTTTTTTACATTTAATGCCAAACTACTGGAATTGGGGAGGGAAATTAGGTCAGCTATTACTTAAGTTAAGTTTGGCCTTGAGTAAGAATTGTCTGAAATTTAAAGTTCACTTCACAAAGCAGAAGTTAAAAACTCTTTAAAGCAAGTTACATCTGAATAGAGTTTATACCATTATTTTCAAGCAGGCTGTGTGAGTCTCCGTAAGGGGAGGTGTGGCCAGGACTGCATAAATGGAAACAAAAGTAATTTAGCTCCTAAATGGCAGAGAATTGAGCAGTGAGACCATACAGGCATGATCTATACACAAATTGCTTCATCAAGCTAAAGTTGTGTTGATGCCTAGTGTCCCTCTTTATGGATTTTTATTTTTGGGGGTTCTTGTGTTGCATCACACATCTGAGCTTCTCTCCCTAGGGTAAGAAGGGAAAGTCCAAAACGGATGGATTCAACTGGGAGTTAGAAAGAGAGCAGGTCCTGCAGACTTTCACTCACCTCCTGCAGCTTGAAATCCGCCGTCTCTGGAGCATGTCTGTGGTGGAGGAAGAGTTTGTCAGGTATGGAGAGCCTGTCAGTTGTGATGTCATTTGGGGCTTTTTAGATATTTTTGTTTATACCATTGACTCATGCAAAATGCTGCATTAATGAGTAGTTTGGCACAATAGGTTCATTGGTCTATAACTTAATGCCATATGGAGTTTAACTCCTGCTACAATGCTTAATACATATTCTCTTTCTGATCAAAGAACCCAATTCAGGTTTGTCGGGCATTGACGTAAACTTCCAGGTTGTTATGCTTATGGGCTAAACCTCTTGTTCACTCTTAATTCCTTATCTGCAATGTTGTGATAAATGGCAATTATTGGATAACACTCCCATGTGCTTGGGAAAATATCCCAAAAAATGTTTGTGCAAAGTGGCTGTTTAATAGTGTTTTGTGTGGGTTTTTTTCTCCTCTAACATGTCTGGCATTTCTGTAACAACCTGCCACCCCTTCTCTCCAGCATGATGACTGGCTGCTGCTACAAGATGATGGAAAACCCGACTATAGGAATGGCTAAAAACAAGCCAGTAAGAGATGTTCTAGGACACTTCCTTGGAGTAATGGTGAAACGCTACAACCATATGCTCAGTGAGTTCTTAACTGCATATTACAGGATCATCTGTGGATTGTTGTGATTTTTATGGGTTTGTTTTTATTTTTTATTTTGAGCAGTTTCACACACATCAAGGAATGCCTGACCCTTCCCTCAGCATATCACTAATCTAGAAGTAAAAGATTTTTATCAACTTTATTTTTTTTTTTTTTTTTTATAGGTGCTTGTGTGAAGGTGATTCAGCTGCTGCAGCACTTTGACCATTTGGCTCCAGTTCTGGTTCATGCTGTGAGTCTTTGGGCCACAGAATACGGCATGAAACCTATAGTTGGGGAGATAATGAGGTGAGAACATTTTATTTATTCTCCCCATATTTGGTGTGAATTAAACTACTGTTTTGTTTAAACGTCTTGTGCTTCTGTTCTTAGGGAGATTGGACAGAAATGTTCACAGGACCTTTCTCGAGAGATGTCTGGAGTGAAGGCTCTCGCCGCATTTTTAACAGAGCTGTCTGAACGAATTCCAGCTATAATGATGCCAAGCATCAGTGTTTTATTGGATTATTTGGATGGTGAGGTGAGAGCTGCCTAACTTTTCTGTTCAATTTTCCTCCCTCTTGATTGTGTTATGGCACTTATCCTGATTTTGTGCTTAGAGTTATGTGATGAGGAATGCCATGCTGACTGTTATGGGCGAGATGGTTATTCGCGTGCTGAGTGGGGATCAGCTTGAGGAAGCAGAAAAAAACACAAGAGATCACTTTTTGGACACCTTGCAGGAGCATATCCATGATGTCCATACATTTGTGCGCAGCTGCGTCCTCCAGATCTACAACCGCATTGTACAAGAAAAAGTAAGGCTCTGCATTTTTTTTTTTTTATTTTTTTTTTTTTTATTTCAATTCATTGGGTCACATGTACACTAATCAGCCACAACATTAAAAAAAACCTCTACCAGGTGAAGTGAATAATTATATTCATAATGGATCCTTTCAAGGGGTGGAATATATTGGACCGCAAGTGAAATAGTCCTTGAATTTCATCTATTGGAAATGGCAATGGGCAGCGTAAATGAGTGATTTTGACAGACCAAATAGTGATGGTTAGATGACTGGGTCAGAGCGTCTCAAAAACAGCAAATCCTGTGGGGTATTCTTGAAATGCAGTGGTTAGTACTAGGGATAGACAGATAATCAGAAATATGGCAAAGTATCCATGGAACTGATGATCTGTATCAGCCTTGTAAGTTACTGATGACTTGCTAACATCTCATAGGCACCATGTGCCATCTTCTGCATGCGGAAAGCTGCAACCTTGCGTCACCCCTTCCATGCAGAGCTCAGCTGAAGCCCGGGAGGTGAGACAGTTACTAAAGTACTAGGCTGGCTTAGAGTAATAATTTGCTGTCAGCAATAATACACCCATCAGTAACTGCAATGTACATGGCAGAATGAGAATGATTGCTTGGAGTGTGATTGTTCAATTAATGACAGATTTGTGTGGGGGGGGGGGTTCAACACTTTAAATGTACAGAATATCGGCAATAGTTTTCGGCTACAGATAATATGCATTGGCTTGGTCAAAATATTGGTCGATCCCTAACTAATATGTACCAAAAGTGGTGCAAGGAAAGACCACTAATCATGGGTGCCAAAGTCTCATTGACTGGATCGTGAAGCAGTAGGAGAAAGTTGCCTGGTCTGTTAAATCTCGTTTTCCCTAGGTAAACCATGCACACCAGCCATTCACCTGATCTAAAAATTGAGATTGCAGCAGCTACACTATGGGAAGAAGCCAGGTCATCGGAGGCAATGTTATTCTCTGGAAAACCTTGGGTCGTGGCACTCGTGTGGAATGCTGCTTTAACACATGCTCCCTACTTAGAAAATGTTGCAGTCCATACACCCTTCTATGGTAATGGTGTTTCCTGATGGCATTGGCCTCTCACCAGGATAATGCACCCTGCCACACAGCAAAAATTGTTTAGGATTTGTATAAGGAACATGACAAAAAGTTCAAGGTGTTTCCTTGGCCTCCAAATTCTCCAGATCTCAACCCGATCATCTGTGGGATGTTCTGGAACAACCAATCCGATCCATGGGGGCCCAACTCTCAACTTGCAGGACTTAAAGGATATGCTGCTAATGTCTTGGTGACAGATATAAACACATTTAGAGTCCATTCCTCAATGCAACAGAGCTGTATTGACAGCATGAAGGGAACTACACGATAATAGGCAGGTGGTCTTAATGTTGTGGCTGATCTGTGTATAGTGTCATTAAAATGATAGAATAGAAGCCTTCTAGCTGAAGTGGTAGAGATTAATAAATGCTGCTTGTCTGTAGTATCCACTCAGATCTCAGACAAATCCTACCTTACATGTACAAATACAGGGAGAACCCTATGCATTCAGTTAATCAATCTGCATCTCTGCACCAAAAGCACATAAAAGATGCAGTGATTTTGAATTTTTTTTTTTTTAATTGAAGCCTAGATTTTTATTGCAAATTAAAAATACAACTCTATACGTAAAATCTACTTTGTTTTGCAAAGCTGTTCTGTCCCCCATTACTTTCGGTTCTGCACTGTTGCCCTAATGCACTTTTTTTGGTTTGTGGTTTTTTTAACACTAGCCAATAAATTGCCTTCAACTTTTCCTCAACAGGCTCTTCCCTTGACTCGTTTCCAGTCTGTGGTTGCACTTGCTGTTGGCCGTCTCTTTGATAAGTCTGTAAATGTTTGTAAGAACGCAATCCAGCTTCTGGCGTCATTCCTAGCAAACAATCCATTCACGTGCAAGGTAGTCCTGCAAACTGCTTCCTTAGCTCTTCATATACACTGTCTGTTATCTCATGTTTCTTGTGGCTTTACAGCTTGGCAGCGCTGATCTGCGGGAGCCACTGCTTAAAGAGACCAAAAAGCTGAGTGAGTTGAAAGAACAATTGAGCAAGAAACAAACAGGTATGACTTGTAGTTGATGCATACTCCTGTCCTTTAAGAACTACATGGAGTCCCACACATAAAAACATAAATAACCGCTTTCTTGGCTCTAGTTGTGGTGATATCTCCTGAGGAGGAATGGGAAGCCATGTTGCCAGAGCTGAAAGAGGCTTTCCAGATGTTGGTGGAAGATGAGGATAAAGATGGCTACCAAGATGAGGCTGAAACACCTGAGGCTCTGCGTGAACATATCTTGCTGCTCTTACGAAAGACTAGTTACAAGTCAGTAGGGAATGTAAACCCTGACAGCATGAATTCGCTCTATTGATCCTACACTCGTTCTGGATTAATCCCCTTCCCTTTTTTTTTTTTTTTTTAACAGGAATGCCATTCGTTTAGTGCAGAGCGGTGCCTTGCGCTTTGCTGATGGTCTGTTTTCTGTAGGGGGGACCATGGAGCAGGATGCAGTACTGAGAATCTTGGAACATATTTTTACAGGTACCCGCTAGAATGTCAGCTCTGTATGCACACAGGACACCAGTTAAAATACCGACCTACACTCTGGTACTCTCCTACCATGGAATTCTCGCTGTATGTGTCCCCGGTACATGGTGATGTGATCCAAAATATGTTCCGTCTGATTCAGCATTGAGTGGCTTTCCTCTTGAAGCTACTTCTCCATGTTACCTTAACACTTCAATAGGGATGACTTGTTTGTTTCCTCTCCAGAGAAGTCACTTGGTGAAAAACCCAACGCTAGTGAAGTTGCACCTGCAGTGGTGGAAGCCACTGAAGAAGCTGATACTGAGCTGTCTTCACAGGACTTGCGTAAACAGGAGATGTTGGTTCAATACTTAACTGATGCCTACAATTTCTCTCAGAAGATTGAAGAGGCTATTGATGTGATCAGCAAGATGATGTATGAGACAGCCGTTTCTGGTTAGTGGAAAGCAACCGGGCAACCAGACACTAACTTGTTGTGTGAGACTAGCCTTTTACTGATATTTCACGTTTTTCTTTTCGGTGTAGTGGTGCAGGAAGTCATTGAATTCTTTGTCACTGTGTCACAGTTCGGAGTTTCTCAGGCAGTGCTTGGCATACGACGAATGCTGCCCCTTGTCTGGTCAAAAGAGCCTGGTGTACGTGATGCTGTGATAAATGCTTACCGACGTCTGTACCTTACACCCAAAGGGGAGTCTGACCGGTAATGTATATTCCTTAATTGGTATCGTGTGTGTGTGTGTGCTTCCCATCCTACCATTAATTTGTTGTTTTTCTATATATGAGGAAAGGCTTGTGTATTTCTCTAGGTGTTTTTGTTGCAGAGGGTTGAGTTGAAAATCCTCTTCTGAATGTGCAATGTATGGCCTCTGATTGCGTATATACTATATGGATTGCTGTGGCAAATACTGTAATGTGTTCCTTTTGCTCCACCTGACCTATGTCGTCCTCCTGCTGCAGGTTGAACGCTCAAGATTTGGTTCACAATCTATCCCTTCTCATGGTAGATTCCTCTGCAGGGATGATCAGTTGCCTGGAGGAGATAGTAAGTTTAGAGCCTGGCTAGCTCAACTTCATGCTCATGCCATCTCTTGCCATTCAACGCATCGTTTAATTCTGCTTCTAGGTCTATGAATTTATACAGAAAGGTGACCTCCGACCTTCTGTGACTCAGCTGCTCTGGGAAAGGTTTACCCAGAAGTCTCCTTGTTCCCAAATGGAGCGGAGAGCTGCAATCATGCTACTGGGCATGATGTCACGGTGAGACCCTGGAATCAAAACTGTCAGATCTAACTCTTTGCCTTGTTACGTGATTCTGACTAACTTCTCTTCTCAGTGGGCAGCCAGAGATTGTGGTCAGTAACTTGGATACAATGGTGACTGTGAGTTTGGGGGATCAAGTTCAAGAAGATTATCAACTGGCACGGGATGTCTGTAATAGCATCTTGAAGATTACAGACAGCCACAAGGTTTGTGGGTGACATGTGACCTGTTAAAGTTATCTCCTTTTTCTTTAACAAAACCACTCCCTTTTAGAATAAATACTGTTTGGTTGCAATATGAGGTATAGTCTGATGTGCTCTCTATCAAGATAAAGGATACTCACAAGATTTCGATTTTAGGGGCTAAATCAAATTGGGTGTCTTGGGTCAATTGATGGCATGCTACACAGTCCAATATGATATTAAACTGGCAGTATGAGTTATGCTGCAATTTCCTCTTGGCTCACTTTCAGTTTACTGTCCTTTCCTCTGACTTTACAATAGCAGGGTCTGTTACAATGTTCTGATGTTAGGACCTGTAGCAGAGTATATAAATGACAGCCAACAAAGTCGTCTTTGTTACTGGTATCCTAACAGACTCTAGATAATTATTGCATTATTTGGAATAGGATCTTGCTACTCTGTTTACGAAGTTGACGGCAGCAGCAACAACTTCTCGTGCTGTCAGAGGGAATGGTAGGCACTTGGCATTATAATGGTTGCATGTAAGTGAACAGCGACCAGCAATATTTTAGACTCTTCAATGCACTGAATGGACTTGCATAACCTCGAAATGCTTGGCACTACCACCCATCTAAACCTATCAATGTCAAATGCACTATTTTGCAGCCATCTCTGGGGAAGAGCAGCGCACCCTTCCGTCTCCCGAGGGATCACTGTCTCTTTGAAAGTCTTACCAGGGCAGTAGCAGGAGGTGAGTAGCAGTCTTTAAGCAGGGAACAAATATATACTATAGAATAGTGGCAATAGTTAATACTTTAAGTGTATTGATAAACAGATGACACAATATAGTGTGTTCATAAGGTAAATGGAAGCAAAGGGGTTTTTTTTTTTTTTTTTTCTGGCCATATCAATGGGTAGCTCCTCCCTATCCCTTACTAGTCCGGAACCTAATTAAAACAAAAGGTCTAGGTATACCCTAGGCCTTTTTGTTCCTGTCCCATGCATAGGACTGTAGAATATTTCTATTTTGGCTTTCCTGAAGGTTACCTTCTGCATCAAGGAAGTTCAGGCTCTCATTTGGAAAGCTTAAGGTTACGGCCCTGCGCAATGGTTTCTCTCCTGAAGATACCCTTTATGACCGGGGGTTTACTTGCTGTGACACTGGGGTAGCAAGATTATGCAATCACACTATTTCCTGCCCAAGGGGTTGCAGGCTGGGCAGGCACTTACAGCTCAAACATCTATATTGACCTCCCCATCTACTCTGAATTGGTTTTATCTGTAAGGTATGAGTTTCCTTCTATGTTTAACTCAAACTGGCCTAGGAATAAGCAGATAAACTTGTGAGCTTTTTTTTAAGCTAGCCAATGGATTAAATTTTTCCTAGTTCTCTGTACTTGACTATTTGCTGTTCTGTTCGTCTTTCAGCCTTTTGACTTGTCATTCACCGTTGTCAGATTTTTGTGGCTTCTGTACCTGTAGGGTCGCTTTCGGTTTTCCGTAGAATATAGGTTTGTGGGGTTTTTTTGTTTTTGTTTTTTAATCTGAAAACCTATAGGCAAGGCCAGCGCCACCGTTGGGCGAACTAGGCATTTGCTTAGGGCACAGGCCTGCTGGGGTGCCCACCTGGATATTTCCTCGTGGGAGTCCCCTGTCTTGAACAGCAGCGGTGACCGAAGGCAGGTAGCAAGGGAGGCTCTTCTTGCAGCCTCACTCATCCCTCACGTTCCCTCTGTGATGCCAGGAGCCAGAATGACGTCATTCCGGCCCCGGCATCCTACACGGCAGGAGAAGTGAGGAGCTGCCCCACATTGGACTCCAGGGAGGGGAGTGTGTGACATGAAGTGGCAGCAAAATGGCTCTTTGCCTAGGGCGGCAGAAATCCTTGCTCTGGTCCTGCCTGTAGGACAGTTGGCACAGGCTTTCATCCTGGTGTAAGCTCTTGCCCCAATCTATAAGGATCTAAGATTGGAATGGATAATCTGGAGTATATCTGAGATGGTCGATCATTTGTCTGACCATTTAAGTCCTTAAGCCTGAAATAGTCTTCAGCTCAAACGCTCTCCGTAGGTCTGATATATGGCTGTCTGCTAGACGTGCTTTTTGGCTCAGTACCTGGTCTGCGGAGGCATCCTCCTAGAGGAATGTATCAAGAGAACGGCAGAGGGTAGGAAAGCACGTCTACTTCAAGACCTACTATTTGGAAGGGTTTTTTATTTTTTCTTCAATCCAAGGACTTTTTTTTTTTTTTTTATTTTTTTATTTAAATTCCCTTCCTTTCAGGACCCAGATATTTCACACCTGGAAGAGAGTATGGTAGATCTCAACCTTGAGGTGGTCATTCTTCTGCCATAGAAAGTGAAAAAGATCCTTTGTAAATTCCATGGCTTTCCTTCAATTAGAGGGAGCTATCGTGAGCCGTTTTTTGAAAGTGGCTAGAACACAAATATTCTGTTTCTAACAGGGGGATGGAGATCCATTCTAGATCTATGCAGGTTTACCAGATTCTCAAACATCTCTCATTATAAAGGCAGTATTTCGAGTACAGTGGATAGTATTTATAGAATCTCTCAGGCTGCTTATTTGAATGTTTCGATTGCTCCACATAAGAGGTCTCTCAGATTGCAGTGGAAGGACACTTTCATTTGTACATATTCATGATTAAAGATGATCTGCTGAAGTCCCCTTACTCCCTTACCATTCACAGTATAGCTGGGATCACTTCAGAAGAGAGATTTGATCTGGGTCCTCCACCATAGGTCTAAGATGGTCACAATGGAGGTTTTCTTTACTATTAATCCCTTTTGGACAGACTACGAATACTATCCACTGGAGTTGGTGAACTCTTCTCAAAAATCGTATACGTTCAGGAAAGGGACATCCTTAAAATCCTACACCTCTTCTGCGTAGGTTGCAAGAGCCAGTAGAAATTGTTCTGAGTGTTTTATATTGGTCACCAGTCCGTGGCTTCCACTTCTGCTCATCAGTACCTCCATGGGATCTCCCATAAGAGTTCTTTCCTTCTCCATCAGGTCCAGCGATACTTTTCTCATCTTGACAATTTAGATGTTGAAAAGAACTTTAATAGAAGTGTTTCTTGGCTGCAGTAATACCATTCTGAAGGCCAGGGAAACTCATCTCATCTCCTTGGCTACCTTTACCAAGTTGGCATGCCTTTTCTTCCTGGTCTATTTTTAATTAGATTATCATTCAAATTCCCTCTACCAAAGATGTTCTAGAGTTCTTAAATCCAGGACTCCTCTATGACTTGACTACATAAACTTAGCGATACATATCTCTGCACTCTGATCTCTCTATTCATAAGTTTTGGTTTTGTTTTGTTTTGTTTTTTTTTCTAATGGATGAGGAGAGGTCTTCAATATCTTCATATAAGCAATCAGCAGATGGATAGTCTATTTCCAGACTACTAAATCCTTATGTGTGTAATCTCTTTACTTTCATAATACTAGAAGTCCTGTGTATTTCTTTCAATCTCTTGGTTATTGCTTTGGTATTGCCCATTGCTGTGCTGCCATGGATATGGCCAGGAAAATGTATTCCTACTCACCGTAATTTTCTTTTTGGGGTCATAGGCCATGGCAGCACACTAGGTAGTTCCTCCTTATTCCTACATAGACACATAGTGCCACTTCCGATCCCTCAGACTTCATATCTTTTTAACTAGGTTCCTGTCTAATTAGGGATAGACGAGCCACCCGTTGTTGTGCTGCCATGGACTATGACCAGGAAAAGAATTATGGTTAGAATACGTATTAAGCCTTTTTTTTTTTTTTTTTGCACTCTTTTCTTAAGATTACCCAACGTGTAAACAGCTTTTTGGTTATTCAACATAATGTTTGCTGGGTGTGGGCCCAATGCTTGTGTGTATGTGGTTTTTTCCTTTTCTTTTCTGGAGACTAGCTTATGTATGTTAAATCAACTGTGTCAAACTCCATAAAATACAAGTTACCAAAACATACAGAAACTTGTAACATATTTATAAAGGGGTGGGGAGGACAATAATAAACACATCTCTCCTGGCTGCAAAATTAGCAATATGCAAATTAGCAAGCCTTGCTATTCAGTTGGTGCATATTGTTGCTACCAACAGATGGCACTTTACAGGCTCCATATAAACCTAGTTGGTAGCAATACTCAGCAGGACAGCATAGCAAACACCCTTTAACACTAAATATTTTACACACCCCCTTCACCTATAATGGGTACAGGGTGACTAAAACATAAAAATAGTCCAGGGACCTACCTAGTCACATACATACAATTTTTATTTTATTCTGTCTTCTGAATTTTTGTAAATTTTTTTTTTTTTTCTCTCTCTCTCTCTCTCTCTCTCTCTCTCTCTCTCTCTTTAGGGATTGGACAGTCTGACTCGCACTGGCTTCCGTTCAAAGAGACTGCGGTGAAGTTGGTGTATGAACTTGCGGAAGAACCCGATGAGACATGCGCAGAGATCCTTCTGCAATGTAGCCGCCATGTTCTAGACCAGATCACTTGTACTGGGGAAGGTAAGACAACTGGTGGGAATTGTAGCTAATCACTTTTTTTTTAATAGTAACATTTTTGAGTTCTCCTGGAACTAGTGCCTGAGCATGTAAGCTTGTGCTTTGTGCCTGTCTCTCTGCCACTGTCCCTGCTTGCTCTTGATCAGCCTTGTTAACCGTTCCCCCATTCACAGGTTCAACCTTGGCTGCCTTTCTCCTTACCCACCTGCTGTCTCTGGCCGGGGATGTTGTTTTTAACCACATTGTCCATTTGGAACGAGCGGTTAGTGCAGAGCTAAGGCGAAGAAGAGTCTTCAAGGAGGAACAGGAGGCAGAGAAACTGGGATGTGGCAAGCAAAGGAAGAGCAAAGTTAGTTCTTGAAGTTAATGTGTGTTCGTTCTATAGGGCAGGTGTGCGTGTGTACACAGTCAATTTCTGGTGGCATTGTCCTCTCTGTGTGAGAGTAATATACTTGTTTCAGTAAACTCTCTATATGGTGGGTTAGAACTGAAAACTTGTTTTTGCAGGGTAATGATAGCACTATGGAGGAGGAACTTGGCCTGGCTGGTGCTTCAGCAGATGATATAGAAGCAGAACTGATCCGGAAGATTTGTGACTCAGAGATTCTTGAGGGTGAGTGGGTATGTTGTCAATGTTTTGGGGGTGGTTAAACTGGTCATACTGTAGTGTGAACTGAAACTTCTGTAGTGCATAACTAGGTTAAATTGGAGAGTTCTATAAACCTGACACTTGACTGTTTGAGTGAAAGGAGCAGTAGAGATTTTAAAGTGTTTGGGTTGATTTATTTATTTTTTTTTTATTTTTTTATACAAGCTTTGTTTTCTTACCTTTGCATATCTATGGCTCACATTCCTTTCTGTAACAGGGAAACAGTACCTCTCTGCCTTCCTACCCCTTGTGCTCCAGATCTGCAGTAACCCAGGGAAATACAGTGATCCTGTTCTATCTACCGTGGCTTCCCTGACTCTTGCAAAGTTTATGATGACCAGGTATGTGTGAATGTGGAGTCTGGAGCTTCTCGGGTTGTGGGGTGTACTTTTTTTTTATTTTTTTATTTATTTTTTTTGTTAAATCACTACACGATCCAAGACAAACTGTTGAAAGGATTACACTGCTGTTGCAGAATAGGCCAGTGTAGTCTTGTTCAACCTCACTTATAAAAGTTGATATTTACAATTTGTGTTGGAAAACTAGTGTTTTTAATAGCTTCTCCAAGAGCTGTAACGGTCTATGCAGAAAAAACACAGCAGTTCTCGTGCTCTGCTCTTTGACAATAGGGGGACTATATTTGATGCAATCCAGGTTTTAATTTTTTCTCTTGGATACCAAGGACACTGTGACCATTTGATTAGGTACACATTTATTTTTTTAAAATCCTTTTTTTTACATGACCAGTACAGTGACATAGAAATTGCATTTCAGGCTTGCACAGAAGACCCTATACAACGGTGTAAGCTAAGACCTTTCCCACCCTATGGTTGTACCCAGATGTGGGGTGGCTCCGAGGCCAAATGTCTCCGTCCGTCACGGTTTTACCATATATGCTTAGTTTTTATATCCCCTGTGATGTGTGCCTTCTCATCTTTCGCACTGCCATTGTAGTTTTAAACCCTCAAGTGCAAGGCTATCGGGCTGCTGACGTCTGTCTACCTTCCCGACTGCTAGATTCAGCCCACTTCCGCTGCACTCCCCCCATCTCCCCTCCGTCTGGTGCGTGTTGAGTATGCTGCTGGCACTCTCTACTAGGCAAAATCCACAGAGGGGATAGAGAAACAAGAAGAAAAAGAAACCAGAATAGGAAAGAGAGGAGTCCTTAGGCGGCCCCGGGCACCAGCCTGGGAGGCGAAGGGGGAGAGGCCGGGGAGAAAGGGTCCCGCTACGCCAAAAAACGCCCCCTTCGGAACCTATCCTACTACCCCATCCCCACATCCACCTCAGTCTGTTTCCTAGGTCGCTCCCCTCCCTCCACCATCTCCCCACCGGGACTGCTCCCACACACATTGAAAGGTCCTAGAGGTGCCCCTGACCCTAGCCGTGAGGTCATCCATCACCCGCATGTCTTTAATCCTATCTATCACACTCTTAATCTGCGGTAGCTCCTGCTGTAGCCACTTGAGGGCCACAGCCTGTTGCGCTGCTAGCGTGATCTTATGGAGTAGCCTTTGCTCCCTTCGCGTCCACACCTCGACCGATCTGCTTAGGAGGTATACCCAGGGTTCCAACGTCCTGGAGAACACCTGTCTCACCAGGTTATGTACTGGATTTGGCCATATTGGCCCGAGATCCCACAACCTCTTCTCTAAGGCCGCCATTGACCCTTTCGGGTTCGTCAGCATCAGGAGAACATAGTCTGCATAAGCAGCCACCACACACTCTCCCCACCCTGACCCCCTGTATGTTGGGGTCCTGCCGAATTGCCTGCAACAATGGCTCCAAAGCCATGACAAACAACAATGGGGACAGGGGACAACCCTGTCTTGTGCCATTGTGCATACAAAAGGGCACGGGGGCGCGCCGGTGATCTGGACCTGCGCTCACGTTGCTATACATAGCCTTCACAACTCTAATGTATGGGTCGGGGAATCCTAATTGGGAAAGCAGGGAGAACAGATGAGGCCTTTTCAGCGTCGATAGATACAATCAGTGTTGGAGTCTTAGTGGTAGCTTGCTTCCAGATGAGGCTAATATTTCGGCGAGTGTTCTCTAATAGTTGTCTACCCGCCACAAACCCTACATGATCGGCGTCAATGAGATGAAGGAAGGAGGCGAGTCTGTCTGGATTTTGGCAAGGATCTTCATGTCATTAAATGAAAATGGGCCTATAGCTGCCTGGTAGTAGGCAGTCCTTGTCTGGTTTGGGTAATAAGACTATCGTGGCCAACAACATCCGGGGTCGGTGTTCCCTCTATGCGAAAGTAGTTAAATAGTGTACGTAGGTGGGGGGGGTTAGGGCCTCCCAAAAGGTTTTATAGTATGCCCCATCGGGGCCAGGGGCTTTATTTCCTTTTAATCCGGAAATCGCCTTATCTATTTTGCTTTCCGTTATTTCAGCCGCAAGGCCCTCCGCCGCCTCCCACGGTAGCTTCAGTAACTGTATGCATCCCAAGAACCATTGTAGGCGCTCTTCCCCCATTAGTGCTCTCCCTTCTGTCCCGCGGGGAGTGGTCGTATAGTGTCTTATAATAGTCCGTGAAAACCGCTGCAATGTCTCGGGGCGCTGTTTTGAGAGACCCGTCATGGTGTCGCATTGTCGTTATAGGAGTGTGCTGCATTCGGGGTCCTGGCTAGCAATGTGTCCATTTTATTTCCCTTCTCATAGAAGGTCCGTCTGGACCACGTTCTAGCCCTAGCTGCGTCATCTAATAGTAGTTGTCGCGCTGCCAGTCTCCTCTTCCTCCCTCCCTGGCCGTGACTCTTGTGAAACCCGAGGCATTGGCTAGAAACATATCTATCCGTGAATAGGTCGCGTGTGGGGCGGAATAAAAGGTATATTCTGAGTCCCCCGGGTGCTGCGCTCTCCATACATCTCAGGCCCGTGTCATTTACACAGGTAGAAAACATTTTTGTCTTGTATCCCTCGTCCATGTGACCTAGGCACCCCCCCCAATCGTGCTCCTGACGATCGCCGGGCTCGATGTGGCATTGAAGTCTCCCCCGCTATGGTCATGCCTTGCCCTAGTGCCCGTATTTTGGTTTGAACGGTGTCTCAAAACCCCGGGTCCGGGTGGCTAGGGGCATATACATTTATCAAGTGAATGTTGTGGGAGTAGAGGGTCCCTGTCACTCTTACATATAGCGTCCATGTCAGTGGAATTAACCTGTAAGGGACAGCTCCACTTGATCAATATGGCCACCCCACTCCGTTTCCTGCCCGCCCGGGATTCATGCGAGCCTGTGTAAACATGATCCCGAAGTCTCAGCTGCACAGGTTTTGGAAGATGTATCTCCTGGACGAAGGCAATGTCCGCCCCCCGTCAGCTTCAGTTCCCTATACAACATGCGCTGCTTTTGAGGGGCATTCAAGCCCCAGCATTCAACGATATTAGCTTAAGCGCCATCTGTCCCACCCAACGCCCGCTCCATCTCCCCCACCACCCCCCGGCCCACCCACCCAGGACTCCAGAAGAAAAATAGAATAGAAAGAGAAGATAACAGGTACGAAGAGTTCGCACCCAGAACAGAACCTGTTGTCTAGTCTTATCACCTGCCAGACCTCGTTGGGGTATATGTGTCGTCATCCCAGACATGCGCCACGCCCGGATGAGATGAGGTCCCATATGCCACAACCTTCCCTGCAACGCTGACTCTCTCTAGATTACCTAACTGCCGCTCATCGTAGTATGTGTCTTGGCACCTAAAAAAAATGTGTATTTCGCAACGTGAAACTGGCAACGAAACCTTTAAGTGCAACCATTACACCCATAACCCGCCCTAACTGAACCACATCGGTATCCCCGAAAGCTGCCCCTTCCCTCCCCATTTCTCCGTTTCTGAGAGGCCATGCCTACGTACCCTGCTCTTGTGTGATTTTTCTTGCCTAAGTTTCAGACCTGTCCATCAAAGGCCAACTAAATTCCTTCTCCGCAGAGACCCCAATGGAGACTACACTACCCCGTGTCCCCGCCTAGGTTCTTCCTTTGGTGTTCCCACCCGGGTTCTGGGTAACCCCCCCCCCCTTGCCCACCCACTACCTGTTGATGTCGGTGTGCCCGTGGATCCGCATTATTGGTTAGGCCCTCCACCCGTCCCCAGTGATCTCCTTCCCCAGAGAGTGCCTATGCGCTCCCCAGCTGTGACCAGTGCGCTCCCTCTCCTCTCCCCAAGCCGCCCATCCCGTCCGGACCCCACAGGATTTTATGACTCTACCTACAGGTCCATCCCTTCCCCTTTCTCCCATCCCTTCTCCACCACAACACCTGTGGCCTCTAGGTATCCTCCGTCGTTCCCCTTCGCTTCCCCTCCCCCCCACCCCCTGTGTGGATGGCTGTAGGCTCCCAGGTGTGGGCTCCCTGTTGTGTCCTCCTTCATTGCCGCCCCAGGCAGGGCATGCGCTCCGCCAATACGGTCTGCCGCCCCCCAAAGTCACTAGCGGTATCTCTGCTCTAGTCTTGCATCCAGGGCCCCCCGCTCCTCATCTGGTCCCACCCTCCTCAAATCTAGGCCTCATGCCCCCCTCCCAAACAGTCTTGGTGCACCCCCTGTGGGGTACCGTCCCATTAGTGCCCCATGTCAGTCCCGACTTTACGGTGTTCCTGCCGTCGGCCACTCCACCGGTACTGGTGCCAGCTCCTCCGCTGGCCAGCTCCTCAGCGGTTCCAGACCCCTAGCGAAGCTCTGTGGATCTCCTCCAACCGGAAGGGTATGCACTCTGCCGTCCTGGAAAGCCAGTAGGCGGAACGGGAACCCCCAGGCGTATCGGATTCCAGCCGCACGCAATGCCCCTGTTATGGGTCTCCATTCCCTGCGGCGCTGAAGTGCGCTTGAAGCCAAATCCTGGTAGAAAGCGATTTCCACTCCTTGGTAGTGGATGGGCTCCTCTCTGCTCCGCTTTAATAGGGCCTCCTTGGTGGAGAAATGTAGAAATTTAATAATGTCCCTTGGAGCATTGGGTTCCAGCCACCTTGCCCTCAGGGCTCTATGCACACTCTCCATTTGCCACATCTCCTCTGGGATATCAGGCAGGAGAGGCCGGAGTACCTGTGCATGCAGGTGTCCCTCCCCGTCCCGCTCCGGCATGCTGCGGGTCCGCACATTGTTTCTGCGTGATCTATTTGCAATGTCTTAGGTACACATTTATATTACGGAGTAGGACCTGCCCACTTCCCCATTGACCCCAGCAGAGCTAGTAGTATTCATTTGATTTTTGTTTTGAGATTGTATCACACAGTTGCTGCATGTTTATCACCTCTTCCACCCATTCCGATGGTGCTGTATTTGCTGGTGATCAGTGATGCTGGAGAATTTTGAAGCATGCTGAATTTAAGATGTAGATTAAGATGTAACATGTTGCATTATCATGCTAGAAATAAACATTCAGATATCAAATAAAACAATGCAAATGATCAAGGAAGAACTTCTAAATTTTTGTCAATTTTAAGGCAATTTTAAAACTGACTTGATCTTGTAAAAGTGTTCAGAATGAAGTCCTACCATATGGCCATGTTGTGTTAAAACCCAACAGTCTTGAACCGCTACACAGATAATCCCAGTATTTTTCCCAATTGAGTGTATCAACAATGCAAGCTAATAGTATAGCTTGACTAGACCAAAATAAAACCTAATCCGTATTTTATTAACAAATGTTTTTCTGCTTGTTAATTTCTAGTTCAGATTTCTGCGATAGTCATTTGCGTTTATTATTCACTCTGCTTGAGAAGTCTCCTCTGCCAAGAGTTCGTTCAAACATCATGATTGCGCTTGGTGACCTCAGTATCCGCTTCCCCAATCTCATTGAACCCTGGACCCCACACCTCTATGCCAGGTAAGCTTCCCGTCATCTGACACATTTTTATAAGAAGTAGGTGTTAAGCTGAGTGCTGGGGGACTGGATTATCCCCTTTTTAAGCTCTTTATTTAGGTGTTTGGTGTTCACTAACTGAAGTGGACTCACCCACTGTACATAAGGTGTTTGTAGGAGGATGACTGAAGCTTAGTATGAGCGTTGTCCATTGATCCCTGCTGATCTGTAGGAAGAGTGTGGTTGTTGTTTTTTTTTTTGTTTTTTGTTTTTTTTTTGATTCAGCAAGTTCCAAGCCTGTATATAATTAGTAAGTGCAGAAGGCCATTCTATATTAGAGTTGGAAGTTGTATGGTAAACCGCTGAAACAAACATTTGGTTATTTCAGCTATATTTAAACTTAAACTTGAACTTGTTTACTGTTCTGTTAGCTGATGAAATTAACCAAATACAAAGTTTGTGAACCACTTCATACAATCTGAATCGAAGAACTGGCTATAATCTTAAGGGACCACTCTTGGCACCCAGACCACTTCAGGTTAATGAAGTGGTCTGGGTGCCAGGTCCAGCTAGGGTTAACCCATTTTTTCATAAACATAAGTTTCAGAGAAACTTTTATGTTTATCAATGGGTTAAGCCTTCCCCATTCTCTCTAGTGGCTGTTTCATTGACAGCCGCTAGAGGCGCTTGCGTGCTTCTCACTGTGATTTTCACAGTGAGAGCACGCCAGCGTCCATAGGAAAGCATTGTGAATGCTTTCCTATGTGACCGGCTGAATGCGCTGGAAAAAGGTAAGTTTTTAACCCTTTTCCCCTTTCCAGAGCCGGGTGGGGGCACTATAGTGCCAGGAAAACGAGTATGTTTTCCTGGCACGAGTGGTCCTTTAAAAGCACTTATGAGTAGAAATTAACTGTTGGTTTTCAGTTTTGAATGTCCAAAATACTTTGAAAATCATTCTTCTTTAAGATACTCTGACTGAAATCATACAAACCTGCTCTTAATGTGACTAAAATGGAAGCCTCCAGGTTTTAATTGGTTTATGCAATTTTCAAAAATGCATAAATTTCTCATCAATTCATCAATTTCTTATCCTTTTCTCCAATAAACAGACCCCTTTGTAGGGTATTAAAGCTCTTCTTCAAGATGTGGGGCTACTCCATCCGTCTACTAGGTTTTGTTGTGTTGTGGTGTTTTGTGTTTTGTGTTTTTTTTCACCACAACCATGATCCGGGTTAGAAAAGGTTGTGATGTTGGAAAACACAGCAAATATGCAGATTAACTATACTCCCGCCATACAGTTGTATATGCAAATTCCTTAATGGCTACCAAAAATATTCAGAACATGGTCACCTACCTAAATAAGAAAGTACCCCCCACACTCCCATTGTGGATCAATTTTGATACCTCGCATTTGTTTGTCCTATCAGATTGCGGGATCCTTCTCGGGATGTGCGAAAGACCTCTGGTCTTGTAATGACTCACCTCATTCTGAAGGATATGGTGAAGGTTAAGGGACAAGTCAGTGAGATGGCTGTGCTGCTTATAGATTCTGATCAAGAGATTGCTTCACTCTCCAGGAATTTCTTTAATGAGCTCTCAAACAAGGTGGGTGTCCCAACAAGAGATCTTTGGGAAATGTTGACATGGTAGTGTCCAGTAAGGAAGATTAAATGGCCTTTGGTTAGGTGATCTGGGTTAGACTAGAGGAAGGGTGTTGCATGTCCAAGTAGATCACAATGCATTAGTAATCTGGATAATTTTCTCTTTACAGGGGAATGCTGTGTACAACCTGCTGCCTGATATTATTAGTAGACTCTCTGATCCAGACTGTGGAGTTGAGGAGGGATCATTTCACACTATAATGAAGTATGTAATTAAGTACAGAGATGGTTTGCTATAATTTCTTGTTTGTATGACGTTGTGTGAGATGTCATCTGAATGAAGACACTTTGTGTTGGTGATTCCTTGGTTTGGTCTGTATCAGTAATAACACTTAGGGTTATTAAAGTGAGAAGTTCTGGAACTAAGTGCTTTTCAATTTTAAGGCCATAACAGACTAACTGAAAACAGACTTGGACTCGTTTTAATTAGGCTGTTGAAAATCACTTTGAATTCCGAGCAATTCTCACTGAAGTGACTAATCTGAGTTTGTAAACTGTGGTATGATTTTGTATTTCATAATCTTACACAACTGTTTGTGGAACGTTGGCTATTTTGGGGAAGTGTCTCTGATGTGTAATTCTGGCAGTGTCGGAGTATTACAGCATGGCTGTCATTTGATTGCTGCTTCAAACTATTAAAGTTGAGCCATGTGCTCCTTTCTGCTATTGTTGGTGGAATGGTGGAAATCTACAGTAGGCACTGATGGTTCTTTCCCTCTTAGACAGCTTCTCTCCTACATCACAAAAGACAAGCAGACAGAGAGCCTAGTAGAGAAAATGTGCCACCGGTTCCGTACAGCACGGTAAGTGGTTGTGTTTTGGCCTTTGTTTTAACTTATCTTTTTTGGAGTACTCTCCGTTAACATCAAGGGGACAATTGCTGTTTAGTAGCTATACACCAATGAATGTGCAATTTGTTTCTTGGAAATTACTCAGACTTCTCAGTGAAAAGCCTCTAAAGCAAATCCCCAGTGCGTGCACATTGGCTTCTGCACCAGATTCTGAGAAGGTCAGAGAAACTCTGTGGGGAGGCAGGAGCACTCAAGTGGAGTACGTTTGACACGGTTGTTGGCTCTGGGGAGCTTATGGAATCCAGATGCTAACCTCCCTGGCTGTTCAATTATTAAAAGTTCAGATTTCTCATAGAAATCAGCCCTTAATAAAGTGCCTTTTTAATGGGATACTCCACACCTATAAAGTACTTTCTGAGCAGGGACAAGTTAACCTAGTCCTGCCACACAAGCAAATGCTTTTCTACAGAAAAACAATTTAGTGCACTTGGTTTAAAACTGTATTGGGTTAGCAAGCATAGAAAATGCTGTTGATCTAATAAATGGTTATTTGTTTTCGCATTACTGCTGGACAAACTGTCTACTGCCACCGTAAAGCTTCATGTGGCCTGAAATGTATGTATTGACCCTTTGCTCACTGGTCTTTTTATAGAGATGGATGTTACTTCTGTAACACCGATCTGCCCCACCCATGCTCTTTTGCACAGGAAAAATATCCCCTATCTTGTTGACATGCTGGCTCCATTGCCAGCATCTGAACGGAGTGGCTTTACATCTCTCAGTTCCTATATTCTGTAGCCACTAATAGCTGCGCTGGCTAGGGTAACACCATAGCAATCACAGCGAATTTGCTGGGGTTGCTATGGGTGGAGAACAGAGAACTCATGTGGGAGGTCCCCTCTGATCAACCTGTCTCAATTCCTTAGCATTACATGTCTGCTGAGGAATTGAGGCAGATGGGAGAAACTTATTAAGTTTTCATCTACATCTATAAATTGGCTGTCAAGACTGCTAGTGCAATGTATATGTGATTTCAAGATTTTATAAAGAGCTGCAGTTTTTGCACATGGCAGGTTTCATTTAAAGTGGCTTCCAATCTACAGCAGAGCTTGGAGAGGAACATTGTGCTTTTTAATGTGTTGCATGTGAAGAGGAATTTTGTGCTCTCTTGGAGCAGCTACCCACCTTGGGATGGACTCTGGGAAGGGCCAATGCCTCTCAAAACCTTTTCAGATTCTAGAAGTTGGATAATGACTTAACTTTACTTACATGACTTCTGTCTTGTCATGTAAAACTTTAACAGTAGGAAAAAAAATTGGTGGGAAAGAATCTGCCCCATAATGTGCTGGATAAAAATGCACAAATACCATCTTTAGTAAGCCGCATGTTTTTATGTCCATATCAGGACTGAGCGACAATGGAGAGATCTTGCGCACTGCCTTTCTCTCCTGCCTTTCACAGAGAAAGGACTGCGAAAGATGCAGGATTGTTTTGAATGTTATGGGGACAAATTAAGTGACGATGACGTATACAACTCCTTCGTAAACACAGTGGCAAAGATGCGTCGAGGAGCAAAGCCTGAACTTAAGGTACAAACATCCATTTCTGTGGATGGGAATTTTTTTTTTTTTTTTTTTACATTTACTTATTAAATCAATGGTTTGGGTGCTGACTGGAATTTTTGCGGCCTGGGGGGAAAAGCAGGAGGTTGTAGGTGGCAAGAGACTGGATGTATGAATAGTTCTGGGCTAGGTCGATTTGTTCAAGTGTTCCTACTTAATGTGTCTGTTTTTTCTTTCTTTTTTTGTTTTTTCCCCAATCTGTGCTGTAGACTCTGATAGATGAGTTTGAACAAAAGCTGCACAAGTGTCATAATAAAGGTCTGGAGAATATGGAGAGTGAGGAACCTCAAGAAGAAAATTCAGAAGGCCATCCTCCACAGCCTGCCAGGAAAAATCCTCCTGGTAAGTCTGGTCTTGTTGGTGGTTGAAATGTAATGTGCTTTGTGCAGTAACTGCCGTGTGCTCCAGTACTTGTGGGTACAAGAGTCAGACTGGGGTCATGAAATGGTCACATGGTATGGTGTGTAGAAATAGGAAACTAAAGTGAAGCCTTGGGTTATGTAACTGAAAGCTTTTCTTTCACTATCCTGCTCTTTATTTATGCACGGTCAGCAAAGAGACAGCCGCTTTCCTCCATCAACTCTGTACAGAAACCTAAAAATGAAGATGATTTTCAGACGCCAAAGCATCATCCGCGCAGGAACCCTCGCAAGACTGTGGTTGTAACGTTCTCCAGTGATGAAGAGTCTGGTAAGTGACATTTGTGTGTGTGTGTAAAATAAAAAAATAAACTTTAAAAATCCCAAATCAAAGTCTAAGAGAAAAGGTCTACTTTTTTTTTTATATATTTTTTAATTTTTTTTTTTTATATTCTCTAGATATGGAAGCCGAGCTGAGTGATGCGGAGACCCCAAAAAACCCAACACCCATTAGACGTACTTCTGCTCGATCACGTGCCAAGTGATCTACGTTGAATGCTTTTTATGTTTTTTAATGTTTTTATTCCTGTTTGAAAACTGAGTATTTTTATCTTAAATATTAAATCCTTTTTTGTTTTTACTCTTTTGGTTTGATCTAGTTTCTGATGAGCTTGTGTATAGTGTGATTGTTGCCTGGGTCACTCTAGATGCACTGGTTGAGTGTTGCATGTGCATTCAACATTATCTTCATAGCAGAATGTTTCTGCCTTTGTTAGAACTCCCTCTCTTCCTCCCCTCTTAATGTAATAGTAGGAGCACTGTAATTGGACCCAAGGCATTCCTCTGCTTTGTAACTTGTAACATTACAGCATGTGGTGAAAAAAGTGGGTATTGCTCTTTCATCTCTCACCTAAACAGTTTGCTGTATCTACTGTATGCACCGGGGATTCAATCAGTCTGATGTACACATGATATTGGTTCTCTGTAATGTCACAAGTTAGCTAAATCTTGTGACATCTGTGTGAAAGCTGAGGTTTTCTGTTATGGAGTGCTTAGAATCTGTTGTGTGGATTTTGACAGGTCTGCCTCAGACCAGCTGATATGCATGGTGTGAAACTGTTTTGGTGGCATTGGCAGTATTAAAATTTCTTCTGGCGCATGTGCAGTAATATGGTTGGGTTGGTACATCCTATAGCTACAAAGATTGGGTAGCTCTTAGAGCTGCAATGGGAAGTAACTTACTACAGGCAGAAATAAGGATTATTCAGTAGTTTTCCTGTGTCCCTTTGGTTTGTAAATATTCTGCCTTATTAAAATCCCACTGTACACTGCATTCAAGGTGAAAGTTGAGTGATCTTCAATTATTACCCTCAGTGTCCCATTCAACCATTTATTGCCATGAAAGAAGTAATCGTGCAATATCTGTGGATTCAAACCATACGTGTTAATCTTGTCAAACACAATATTAAAAACGTACGGGTTGCAAAACTGGAATTAATGTTTAATTTCACGGTAATCTAGCTGTAACTACAGAAAGGAGTTTGGTACTACTGGCACATGGGTGGGTATCCCTGCTGTGACGAACTGAGCCTAGTCACGTGTTCTTGGAGGGGCCTGCTTACCAAAAGACTATGGGCCCTTTAAAAAAAAAAAAAAAAACTGAAGAGACTTCATGGGATTCTATATTTGGTTTGGGAACTGAACAGCCGCACAAACAGGAGACCACCCTGGAGCTTGTTAAGACTAACTGCTTCTTTGTAGCAATTTCCACCACAGTGTTCTCGGTGTTCATCTGGGTGTCCGCAAAATTCCTGAACTGATCTGGGTGATTTTTGGATATGTTTGTCACCCCTATCAGGGATGTAACTTTTGTGGGGATCTTGTGTGTTTTAAGGTATATTTGGAGTTTTTTAATAATGCCTGTAGATAATTGAGTGTAATAGTACTGACTCCATTATCTCCCAGGCATAGGGGATGGATTGACCTATTTTGTATGTGAATGTCTGGTACCGGAGAGCCTGGGGGGGTTTAAACTGTAGTCTATGTTCAACAGGGGGGAGTGCCCCTTGCATGGGGACCTGCCTATAAGGCCAGATGTGGCTGCCATTTTACAGCTTTTGTTTTACCCTTCATGAAGTCTAGGCTCATGTTTGGGGATTGGAGAGCTATATTCACTCTGGGGATTGCTATAATCACTACTCCCTTGGATCACAATTGCTCTTGTAAGAGCAGACTGCTTCACTCTCTGGACTAGGAGAGGTCTATCCACTGGATCCTGGTCTTAAGTCCAGGGTGGATGGAGGACTGCAAGACCCCAACCAAGCTGTGTGGTTTACAGTGGTTATGGTGTCCCAGTGCTGTGCTTATGGTGCTCAAAAGTACTAGGAAGCCACGCTTGACTGAGGTACCCAGTCGGGGTGCCAGGCAGTCTGTTTTACATCCACTCTTCACTACTGGATCACATCTCTGGAGCCATCCTTAAAAAAAAAAAAAAAAAAAGTGTTACAACAATCTTCCCATGCGTATTGCTGCTGTAGACTAGGGTGCTGTGATGAGAATTGAAAGGACATTGTATTTTTACCACCTTATTGTATCTTTGTTGGAGAGAATCTGAGCTAAAGGGCAGAGTCAAAATATGGGCAGATGAAATCCTGTCTAGGTTTTATAGCACCAGTTCTACAGATTGATATTTTAAAAACTCTGGGGGGAGCAAGTGGCGGTGGCATGTGAGGTGGAAGAATAAAGCTTGTTCTGTTGGTTTCATCTTACCATGGAGTCTAATTCTCAGGCTTTCAGATATGAGGTGGAACAAACAGGTGAACTGGAAACTACTTTTCCACTTTACTTCTTTGTCTCTGTGTATAGAGGGAGGGAAATGAGACCCCAGTAAGATAAAGGTGGGAGACGAAGGATGAGTGAAACATGATCCTGGGTGGTGGTTACTTGGTGAACGTAATTTAAAATCTCTGCGACCTACTTCATTTCACCTTCCATATGACATCCCTGCCCCATCACCTTCAGTCCACAAGCAATTAACTCGCATAGCAAGGAAGCAGGCTGTGCAGGCTTTTCATACGAAGCGCTGTAATTGTGGAATGTTTTCAAACACTTAGCATGCTTAAAGGGACACTATAGTCACCTGAACAACTTTAGCTTAATGAAGCAGTTTTGGTGTATAGAACATGCCCTTGCAGCCTCACTGCTCAATCCTCTGCCATTTAGGAGTTAAATCCCTTTGTTTATGAACCCTAGTCACACCTCCCTGCATTTGACTTGCACAGCCTTCCATAAACACTTCCTGTAAAGAGAGCCCTATTTAGGCTTTCTTTATTGCAAGTTCTGTTTAAGATTTTCTTATCCCCTGCTATGTTAATAGCTTGCTAGACCCTGCAAGAGCCTCCTGTATGTGATTTAAAGTTCAATTGAGATACAATTATTTAAAGGACCACTCTAGGCACCCAGACCACTTCAGCTTAATGAAGTGGTCTGGGTGCCAGGTCCTTCTAGGCTTAACCCATTTTTTCATAATTATAGCAGTTTCAGAGAAACTGCTATAATTATGAATGGCCCTAATTCCTCTAGTGGCTGTCTCATTGAAGCCATTAGGCGCTATGCTTCTCACTGTGATTTTCACAGTGAGAGCACGCAGCGTCTATAGGAAAGCATTGTAAATGCTTTCTATGCGACGGGCTGAATCGCGGCAGCTCTTGCCGCGCGGCGCATTCAGCCGGCGGGGCGGAGGAGGAGGAGAGCTCTCCGCCAGCGCTGGAAAAAGGTAAGTTATTACCCCTTTCCCCCTTCCAGAGCCGGGCGGGAGGGGGTCCCTGAGGGTGGGGGCACCCTCAGGGCACTATAGTGCCAGGAAAACGAGTGTTTTCCTGGCACTATAGTGGTCCTTTAAGGTAAATTACATCTGTTTGAAAGTGAAATCAGGTTTTTTTTTTTGTTTGTTTTTTTGTTTGTTTTTTTTTTTTTGGTTCATGCAGGCTCTGTCAATCATAGCCAGGGGAGGTGTGGCAAGGGCTGCATTAACAGAAACTAAGTGATTTAACTCCTAAATGACAGTGAAATTGCAGGGGAATGATCTATACACTAAAACTGCTTTATTTAGCTAAAGTAATTTAGGTGACTATAGTGTTCCTTTAATATGTCTCTGCAACTCGACTTTTAATTTGAGAAACAAACCAGATGTAGCAAGCTATACATTTTTAACTTGTACAGTTATTGCAAAAAATTTATTTATTTAGCTTTTACAATCTAAGCTCTTCCCCCTAAAAGCACTGGTATGAACGGCCAATCTACTCTTGCATCAAAAAGAGTAACTTTACATAAACCTGTGATGGGTACAGAAGAAAAGGGTAGGGATCCCTGCCTATGTTCCAACTAGTGGAATAAAAGGAGATAGTGGGTCCAAAAGTCCATGTTTATTTTGGGTGAGGTGGTTTATTTTATTATAAGGTTTGGGATTAATTTTAAATGTCTCTATATGGCCACACATAGGCTGCAACGCACCAACACCAAAGGTGAATTCACGACATGCCAGATATACTGCCTAGCAGTAAAAACAAACTAACTGCTCAGTAACTGATAGCTACCTACTGGTCCTTCATGCTGCCTCGCTAATGCCGTTCTACTGTTAAATTTCTTTTATACTATGAGTTGTATTTTGAGTGTGGAAACTCCAATAAAATACAAATTAAAAAAAAAATAACTTACAAGTCCTATGCTAGAAGTCAGGCATTAAAGTTACTCGCCACTGCAAATATGAAGGGTCTGTGGCACATTCACCAGGTGTGAACTCCTACTTGCTATGGCTAAAGTTTCACTTACACATGTTTAGTGATAAGTGGAACTTTTGAGCTGGGTTGTTTATCAAATAGGGTTATGGTAATGCTAGCTTCCTAGCCAAAATATTGCTTGATCATGGGGTGCTCAGCCCCTGCTTACTGTAGATACCAAGAGCCCAAACCCACCTGACTCACTATAATACACTGCTCAAAAAAATAAAGGGAACACTTAAACAACACAATGTAACTCCAAGTCAGTCACACTTCTGTGAAATCAAACTGTCCACTTAGGAAGCAACACTGAGTGACAATCAATTTCACATGCTGTTGTGCAAATAGGATTGACAACAGGTGGAAATTTATAGGCGACTAGCAAGACACCCCCAATAAAGGAGTGGTTCTGCAGGTGGTGACCACAGACCACGTCTCAGTTCCTATGCTTCCTGGCTGATGTTTTGGTCACTTGAAAACTGGCGGTGCTTTCACTCTAGTGGTAGCATGAGCTGGAGTCTACAACCCATACAAGTGGCTCAGGTAGTGCAGCTCATCCAGGATGGCACATCAATGCAAGCTGTGGCAAGAAGGTTTGCTGTGTCTGTCAGGGTAGTAGCCAGAGCATGGAGGCGCTACCAGGAGACAGGCCAGTACATCCGGAGACGTGGAGGAGGCCAACAATCCAGCAGCAGGACCTCCGCCTTTGTGCAAAGAGGAGCACTGCCAGAGCCCTGCAAAATGACCTCCAGCAGGCCACAAATGTGCATGTGTCTGCTCAAATGGTCAGAAACAGACTCCATGAGGGCCCAACGTCCACACGGGGTTGTGCTTACAGCCCAACACCGTGCAGGACGTTTGGCATTTGCCAGAGAACACCAAGATTGGAAAATTTGCCACTGGCGCCCTGTGCTCTTCGCAGATGAAAGCAGGTTCACACTGAGCACATGGGACAGATGTGATAGAGTCTGGAGACGCAGTGAAGAACGTTCTGCTGCCTGCAACGTCCTCCAGCATGACCGGTTTGGCAGTGGGTCAGTAATGGTGTGGGGGGCCCGCACAGCCTTTCATGTGCTCGCCAGAGGTAGCCTGACTGCCTTTAGGTACTGAGATGAGATCCACATACCCCTTGTGACACCATATGCTGGTGTGTTTGGGTTCCTCCTAAGGCAAGACAATGCTAGACCTCATGCGGCTGGAGTGTGTCAACAGTTCCTGCAAGACAAAGGCATTGATGCCCGTCCGATCCCTCGAGACCACCCGCCAACTCATCAGGAGCATGCGCAGGCGTTGTAGGGAGGTCATACAGGCACGTGTAGGCCACACACACTACTGAGCCTTATTTTGACTTGTTTTAAGGACATTAGATCAAAGTTGGATCAGCCTGTAGTGTGTTTTTCCACTTTAATTTTGAGTGTGACTGCAAATCCAGACCTCCATGGGTTGAAAAACTTGATTTCCATTTTAAAATTTTTGTGTGATTTTGTTGTCAGCACATTCAACTATGTAAAAAACAAAGTATTTCAGAAGTATATTTAATTCATTCAGATCTAGGATGTGTTATTTTTGTGCTCCCTTTATTTTTTTTGAGCAGTGTATAATTAGCACCTACCCTATAATAAAGTATGGCATGTTGGTCCCTGGTCCAAATAATAATCTATCCCCTGACACTATTGGGATCCATGCCTTGTCTTAAATCATTCCACTATAGTTGGTCCTCTGCCTTTTAATATTAAAGTATAACTTAAGTTACACTTCAATTATGAGTTTTCTCTGAAGCTCAGGACTGCTTAGCCTTAGGGCTTGCTTTTTATTTTTTTTAATTTTAAGTTAGCCCACAAATATATAGAAAATGAGCAATACTACTATAAAGTCAAATTTTCCCGACTAAGAAAGTTCAAACAAAAAGTAAACTTTAACTCTTTAGTATGATCCTATCTGGTTCTTTATCCACATCCTCGCTCAAAATCCCTAATGTAGTGGCACCGTTCAAAAGGAAAGTAGTGAGGATTTTTGAAACTCCAGGCCTGTAAGTCTGACCTTTGTCATAAAACAGGATGCATACATCTAGGGGTAATTGCTTGCAAAGCAGATACTTGTATTCACAGCAGACAGGTTCCGTCCAACAACCCTTCCTTCTCCACCGCCCTTTCTCTGACATTGAAATGATGGTAGTTGTTGAGTATTTGGATTTTAGTGAAGGGTTTGACGAGGTTTCATGCTTACACTGGATCTAGATTCTCATTTTCTTTATATGTTTTAGTCCAAGCATTGTAAGAATATTAAATAGTTAACTTGTTTATATGTATTTTATGCTTTTATAAGGTTTATAACATGATTATTGCTGACTGAAGGGATATTGAATACTTAAAGTCAATATGCTGACTGTGACAGACTAAGGTATTTCTTCTATAGGATGTAAGACAATGCTAAATTTCAGGATGTCTTGCCCATTCCGATTTTAAGGATATTCTTTTCCAGACGTATGCAAAAGCTTATCTTTCCATTGTCAGAATAACGTAATATAAGGAAGTAATAAATCTTATAGTCTGTACTGTATTTGCATATACCATGGCTAATGTAAGCAAACTATGTATAAAAGCCAGCTCTGGAATACACTCATTTGAGAGTCTTGTAAAGCTGTTGTCCGTGTGTTATTGCTTACAAATGATTCTCCATCAACGTTGATTATGGTGACCGAGGGATCGAGAACCGAGGGGATTAGAGTCCATTACAACATTAACCCTTTCAGCTTGGTGTCTAGAAGTGGGATAGATAGAAGTTGGATCAGCAAAACCATTTGCGGTGAGTAGCCTTTTTGTGTCTTATTTGACGCTGATTGTCTATGACCCCCTTTGGTTCAGTAAGACTGTATCCAGTAGATAGGAAAGGTGTAAGGACTCTAGTTATATTGAGACTATAAGAGGTCTCCGGTTTATTAGACATTTGGTCTAAATATATATAGGGGTTCTTGGTAACCCAGGTTAGTATCTAAGATAGATACAGGTTTTTGAGACCATAAGAGGTCTCCGGTTTATTATAGGGTTTTGGTAACCCAGGTTAGTATCTAAGATAGATACAGGGTATCTCAGGTAGATACAGGTTTTTGAGACCATAAGAGGTCTCCGGTTTATTAAGTCTATAGGTGTTCTGAGCAGCACAGTTTGTAGATCTATAAGTATAACCCAAACTTCTCTTTCTCCCGGTCACCTTTGTTTGTCTTAAGTGTTTTTTTTTGTGGGTGATTGTTTGTCTATATTGGGGACACACTTTGGTAAGTTAGTAGTGTCCCCACTCTGAGTCAGCAGTATGGGAAATGTGAGTTCATGTCCTGAGTGACCAATATATGTATGTATATATGTGTGTGTATGTATATATGTATATATGTATGTATATATGTGTGTGTATATGTATATGTGTATATATAAGATAGCAGTACTTTTAAACAAATGGAGGTTTTAAAAATACATAGGGATTAAGGAGAGAACGCAGGTAACTTGTTTTTCTTTGGTTTTTACCATATATTGGGGCTGATGTGTACTGTAGTCCTTGCTGCTGCCCAGTAGTGATGGGAGTGAGCGCAGGACTTATCTTTCTGCAAGATAGCAGTACTGTATATTAGAAAAGAAATGACTCACAGGTTGTACCTGATAGACCTACTTAAATCTTTTTGCTTTATTCTTTCTGTCGCATAGAAGTATAAGTTTATTACTCTGTTTTATTGTAAGTTATTTCACATGGGATCTATGTGCCTGGTATGATTGTTGCTTTAAAAATACTATAAGCCCACTACACTTATTATGAGAGTGGGATAGTGTAAATGTGTTACATTGTTTGCATGATGAGCTCAGTATATTTTATAACTGAGACAAAAAGTCACATCATTAGTATTTGAAAGTTAATTCCCCATATGGGATTAATTGTATAGAAACACCAATCAGCACATCTTCCCTGCCCTGTGTGTTTGTTGCAAAGGATCCATACTGTAAATATGATTTTTGTTTTAAAATAACAGAGCAACATTTACATTTTCAGCGGTCCAACACATGCTTTATTTTGCACTGTAAACTAACCTTTTTATTGCAACAGGTTCCTTTTAAATGATCCAGTGTAATAACTACTGCTTGTGTCTTCTATGTCTCACATTATGTGTTCTTTTAAATTGTGGTATATAGCCTGGATCAGAAATCATGGACAAAGGTTTTTTACCTGTATTACAAAGGGCTCTTGGAGACTGACCGGTCTAAAGGTTTGCCATGCCTTTAAAACATGGTATAGTGAGGGGCGTGGCTGACCGCCGAGCAAGATGGCCGCGTAAAGATTTGCTCCGGCACATGGGCTCCATAAATAACGATCAATTGCAAGCAGAGAACCCACCTAACATCACTGAACATCATGACACAACCCAAAGCGAAGAAATCCATGGCAAAAACTGATAAACTGGCTTTTTTCGGGCAAAAAACAACGCACTCTGAATCCGTGCGGCCCGCGCTCCAAGATGGCGGCGAGGACACAGATGCGGAGGCGGCCTACCAAGCCGTAGAGGGACCTCGTCTGTAGGACTGCCTCACGAGAAGCTACTTCGAAAAGGCCATGGACACCATGTCTAACACCCTGATTAATACCTGGAAAGCAACAGCAGACCAAATAAAACAAGAAATAAGAGACCTGTCAGGAAGAACTACCCGAGTGGAACAAAGCTGCAAAGACCTGGCCTCCACACAGAATGAAATGGCGGACCAAGTTCTAACGCTGCAACACCGAATGGAGAAAATGGAGGCGCAAATGGCGGATTACGAGGACAGGGCGAGACGGAACAATCTGCGGCTACGCGGGGTCCCGGAATCTGTCTCCCAGGACGATCTGCCACTCTATGTAAGAGGCCTCTTGCACGCATACGCGCCGGACATCCCGGCAGATATGCTTTTGGTGGACAGAGCACACAGAATCCCCAAACCCCGACACTTACCAGATTCCATGTCCCGCGACGTTCTCATCAGAGTTCATTTTTACCACATTAAAGAACTCATACTTAAACGACATCGCAACAGACCCAACCCGCATGACGACTTCCCAACGGTGCGCATGATGGCGGACCTCTCCGCGGCCACCCTCAGGAGACGCAGGGAATACCAGAATGTCACCACGGAGCTGAGAAACCGAGGAATTAGATACCGATGGGGCTTTCCCACCAAAATAATTGTCACCCGAAACGGAGACACCACTACCATAACTAGCCCAGACGAGGGCATGAAAAAATTGGAAACCTGGGGCCCAACAAACCCTGAGCCTGGGATAACTCGCCGTCCCCCTAAACAGGGGCGCAAACCACAAGAGGACTAACGTATACGTTTAACGAACTGCTGCCCTTGAGAAGCCGCAAGTACAATGCATAGTTCTAACCTTTTTAGTTACTCATACCATGTACATAGTTTTATGTTTACTTATCAATGGCTACCATAACCCTAGTAATAGACCAGAATGGGACTGTAGGCCTTCTGCTGGGCGGGTCTCCAGGGTCCCATGATTGAGAAATGTTGACCACATAATGATATGCCGGCGCACGCCTAGGGCGCTTAACACATAGGTACACAGGAGGGGGCTAAGACCCCCTCACAACATAGAACAAACCTCGCTCTACTATCACAGAAGTGGCCACCACTAGTAACTGGGCAACTGGCCCCAACATATGCTGGGTACCCCAGCAGATCAATCAACGCCCCGACACAATGGGCACTAACTGACAAGTAAGGCCGCAACCCCCACTAGACTAAAACTGAATGACCCACGCCGGCCCATGGATTGTGGGGAGACACGCACATACACCCCATAGGCAATGAAAACGGTAGCCACTGACGGGCAATGCCTATCAGAAATGAGGTGTAAAAGTCAGCCCTCAAATTGGCGAGTCAGCGCTGCCATTACCCAATCATAACCTAACTACAAACACACACTGCCGGCATAACGTACACTAGTATACACCCGCTACAGCACTACGCTTACTATGGTAACAAACAATGTCTATGATCACGGTAGCAAACCCCTCATGGTTACGAAGTTGCAATGTTCTACTGTAAAGTTATGTGTTTACTTTGTACTAACAATCTCTGCCTATCTATCTGCTCTAAAATGGAGCCCAGACAGCCACTGACTGGTAGTCTAGACTTCCAACCCCCAAGGTGTGACAGACGCACCGGACCTCCTTAGGTCGAGACCCCATACCCCCTCTAACTGCGACCCCCCTAACCCATCTGCTCAGAGATACCCTAGGCATTAGCTCCCCCTGATCCCCTGACCGACCAAACCGCTAAGGGCTACTGCCCATAGGCTCCTGTTGCCACCATGAAAATCTATTCACATAATGTTAAGGGGCTAAACACACCCCACAAAAGACGCATGCTACTGGACGACCTAAAACGCAACAAAGCAGACATAGTCTGCATCCAAGAAACACACTTTGTCCATAACCGAACCCCCTCATTCGCCACACGGGACTACCCCCACCAGTTCCACGCCACCCACTCTTCCAAATCCCGAGGTGTTTCTATTCTCTTCCACAGCTCTCTAACCGTAGAACCCCTGCAAGTCAAACTAGACAGAAATGGTAGGTTTGTCATACTACACTGCCTACTAAACAACCAACCCCTTCTGCTGGTGGGTCTCTACGGCCCGAACGCCAACCAACACAACTTCTTACACATGGTTCTCCATAAACTGCCAGCTGACACCAACGCCCAAGTTCTAATGTGTGGAGACCTCAACCACACTATAGACTCACGCATGGACTCCACTGTCCCATTGACATCTGCCAGACATGCCTCACTCACACGCACCAACAAAGCTCTCACGAAACTACTACAACACCACGGCCTCTATGATGCTTGGAGGACATTACACCCACTAGACAGGGAATATACATTCTATTCACAAGTCCACAAAACATACTCCAGGATCGACCACGTCCTCTTGACTGGACCCCTCCTACAACAAACTACGGAATGCTCCATAGGGAACATAGTGTGGTCAGACCATGCACCTGTCACAATATCCCTCCGAGACACGTACCAACACAGAGGCAAACCACCGTGGCGTCTGAATGACTCCCTTTTAAAAGATGCAACCTTTGCACGACAACTAACCGATCACCTACAAGAATACTTTGACTTAAACGACACGACTGAAGTCTCTGTAACGACGCTCTGGCAGGCTCACAAATCGGCCATACGGGGGCCCCTGATAAGCAGAGCTTCCTACCTACACAAAAAAAGAGAAGGAGAATACATTAGCCTCTTGAGACAACTCCGGGACACGACAAATGCCCACCTTCTCAACCCGACTGAAACACGAGCCAAATCTATTACAGACCTCACCGCCCAAATCAATGCCATTGCCCTTCACAAAACAAACTACATGTTAACAAAGCTGAGAATTAAATCATATACTCAAGGCAACAAGGCAGGCAAACATCTGGCAACACTATTGAAACACAAACAAGCGAACTCCAAAATCCCTTATCTAGTTACGAAAACTGGGGTGAAAATTCATAATCCACAAGAAATTAATGACGAGATGGCCGACTATTACCATACACTCTATAATTTGAAAAACGACCCAACCACACACCAGCCCACAGCCCAGGGTATTGCCAAATACCTTCAACAAACCACCTTGCCCACCCTCTCAGAGGCCCAAGCCCAACTCATACAGCACCCCATTTCCACACAAGAGATTCTAGACACTATCCAAGGACTCCCGACAGGGAAGTCCCCTGGCCCAGATGGCCTATCTAACGCATATTATAAACGATTCGCACAAATACTCAGCCCATACCTCCGGAGACTATACACCCACATACTCAACACCGGCACCATGCCCCCAGAAATGCTAATGGCTCATGTCGCCACACTCCCTAAACCCGGGAAACCCCCAGACAGGTGTCAAAATCTGCGCCCTATCTCCCTCTTAAACACTGATGTAAAGCTCATAACCAAGATACTATCGAACAGGTTAGCACCAATCATCCCATCACTGATCAAAGAGGACCAGGTAGGGTTTGTAGGTGGCAGACAAGGGGCCGACGGCACTCGCAAAGTTCTCAACATTCTCCACGGGCTGCGAGGGGGGAGGGCCCCAAGCGTGCTTCTCTCTCTGGACGCGGAGAAAGCTTTCGATCGGCTATATTGGCCCTTTCTCCTCGCAGTCCTCCGCAAGTTTAACTTCCCCCCCGCATTCATCTCCCTCATTACAGCCCTCTACTCCGCACCTACCGCCAGAGTAGTCAATGGGGGATTCATCTCCAAACCGTTCTCAATATCCAACGGATCTAGACAGGGCTGCCCACTATCCCCCCTCCTATACATTTTAGCATTAGAACCCTTTACACAAATGATTAGGGACGACCCAAATATCCACGGAGTTAAAGTTAAAGGCCGCGAATACAAATTGTCTCTATTCGCAGACGACATCCTCTTGACATTAGAACAACCACACACCTCCCTTCCAAATTTTCATGCCCTCCTCGCCCAATACAGCCAGAACTCTTATTATAAGCTGAACATAACAAAAACCTCAGCCTTGGGAATCAACATCCCCAAACAGGAGCTGGACCAACTCAAAACCAACTTCACATATGACTGGAGGCAAGACCATATTAAATTCCTAGGGGTCAACTTCACCCCTACACCAACATCATTGTATAAATCTAATTACCTCAAGCTGCTCACAGACCTTCGAACTCTCCTACAAGGATGGAAAGGGAAGTTTATCTCCTGGGCCGGAAGAATAGCCTCGGTGAAGATGATAGCTCTACCGAAAATACTCTACCTTTTTAGGACCCTCCCGATTCGTCTCTCCAGCACCTATATTCGAGACTTACAAAACCTACTCATCACTTACGTATGGGAAGACAAAAAACCACGGGTGGCGAAATCTACCCTATACGGCACAATAACACAGGGAGGCATGGGAATGCCAAACATAATGGGATACTACAGAGCAGCAACAATAGCACCCATACTAGCGACTTCCCCGCAAAGAGAACCGAAAACCTGGGCCACAATAGAAAAAGACTATGCGAACGGCATACACATCTCGACTCTGGCCTGGCTACCGAAAAACAGCCTACCAAAACTGAACGAACTGCTGCCCACAACTAAGCTCACTCTCTCCATATGGAATGTCTACAAAAAACGGATGACTAATCCCGACCAAATCTCGCCCGCTCTCAGCATAAACGCCCTGCAACACCTCATACCG